TTCCGATTTTTCATCCACTAGAAGGCCACAATACTCCCTAACATGGAATATGGCTATCATGTCAAGGACCGGACCCATTGGGCTCTGCATCAATGGCAATTTCGGCTCAGGTAGAGTGTAAAACCTTCTGTCTAGTTGAAGGCACATTCTTAACATCCACCCCTCGCACACTTTCCAAAGGCTGCATGATCGGCTCCTTGTACGGATTTTAATCTTCGTAGCTTTGTGCTTCGTTCCCTTTCATCCGTTCACGAGTTCCATGTATAGACATGAGGCCATNGGTTTACATGCATTTTGCCCACAAAAGCCACAAATTTTTTGAACGTCTTTTTGAACATTTTCCCCCTATGTATAACCTTTACACTCACAAGCATGGAATCCACGAGTTGTTTTAGATGAATATCAGTCCCATTTCTATCACACAGTTGTCTTTGTAACATATGGACTTACCTTTTGACGAAACCTTATGGTTGCTATGTCATTCGGGCTGTTTTTTAATGTAACTATTGAATCGATGGGACGAACGATCTCTAACAGACATATTTGGGTGATCCTTTGCACACAACACGAGAAAGAAAAATTACCCGCGAATCCAAGTTGGCTTCGATCCCTGCAGCATGTGTTTGATCTGCGGCCACCTGAATAAGTCGTTCCAACAGAACACAGGCGCCATGTATGGCCTGGTTTTGCAAACCCAGAGGCAACGGATTTCGCACACAACCAGAACAGGTCCCATTCGAACCACGCGGATTACGTGGAGCAATAAAATGATCCCACAGCAAGGCTAGTTGTCGCCCGGTCAAACTGGGATGTAATGGGCCAGTCAAAAGATGCAACAACGCACGCAGTTCGGTTGGGGACTGAGAGAAGATAACACGGAGGGGGGTGGGTGAAAAGGTTAAGGATAAAGGAAGAGTTTTTCAATCTGCGTTACAAATAGGCAAAAGAAACGGCCAACAAAACGACATTTTTTTTTATTGAGAAGACAGTGGAAATAGTGGAGTATCAAAGTTATTAATAGGAATTCGAATAAACTAACTACGGCATCGATGTCTATTGGCTACCTCAGTCAAAAGATCCTGCCCAAACGACGCATGAATCAATAAACTGGAAGCCGGCCTCCGATCGATTACGGTTTTCACACAACGCTCCGCTACCTGGAGCAATTTGGCTAGTCGAGAGCCCCGAGTATGAATCGTGCCTTGGAAACCTGGCAGCATTTTGCAGTTAGCGCACATAGAGGAGCTGAAAAAGCCTGATTCTAAACCTTTCAAGAAGTAGCGATTCTAGGACATCTTCATCGCGGTCACCGACTGGATTAGCTGATACAGCGCACCAGGCATACGGAATATGTGAAACGCATCTCAAGAATGTGGGGTTCGATTCACAGGACTTCGGCCCCAATCGAGTGTGGTTTTCGCGTATCACCACGACACCTTGCCAGTTGGGCTTCGCTAAACCAACGCCTTCAGTTGTGAAACACTGATTCAGTTTGGGTAACCTGGCAATAACGTGCAATTCAACAAATTGTGCATTACATTTTTATTTATAAAAAGGCTTACAACATGATATGTTAGAAGAATAGACTGGGTCCATAACAAGCGTTAAACATAATACGCCAACATCACCGAGATGCATCTTCCCAAAGTTTACTTCTCTTTTAGGACACGATTCACCCAATGCAACGGTGAAACAGTCATTTTAGAGCTCTTTGTCAGTCATCATAAACACTTCCACCGCAATTTAAAACTTACTGATCTTCTCATTTTAACTCTAGTGTTTTTCAAGGCACCATTTTGTCTTTATTCTTTTTTTGCCCGTATATACACGACTTGTCTGTCCCTACCAACTTCGTTGCTTGTAAGTATGCTGACGATGTAGTGTTTAGGTGCCAACCCAATAACGATGTATCTTTCCACAAACTTCAAGGCAGCCTGAACGACGGCTTTAGTTGGTCCCTGCTCCGATCTATTGTGCTCAATGTTTCCTTTTGTGCTAGTGTTCCCTCCAACCTTAAATCTGGCTTCCGTTATCAAACTAACTTTACTGATATACCTGAACTCGTCGTTAACAGTCGCAGCATTCCCAAAGATGACTCCGTTAAATACCTCGGTATTGTTCGCTCCCACAATCTTGCTTGAACTAGCCATGTATAGAACATTTATAATAGGGTTCGTAAACTTTATTTTTATGCTTTGAGGCTAAAGAAGCTTGCTGTTCCCCCAAATGTAATTTTCAAATCTGTGGTCGCACGCATCCTCCGTCACTGGTTGTGCTGTTCCTCTGTATTTTTTTCCGGTCTGAAAGAAAAAAGATTTCATATTAATTTCCAGATCTATAAAACTCCTTTCCCGATATAGTGGGGTAGCCAGAAATTTCCTGGTTGATTTTATTGTGTGCAAGCTATCAACACACGTGAACGAAAAGCGGATAGAATCTTGAACAACGTAGATCACTGCTTACACAACGAAATTCTTAATACATGTCAAACACTCGTACCCGCTCTCATTATAAGTTCCTTCTCTCGGGCACTGCCACAAACAGAAACAGCATCCTCTCTTAGCTTGCGCTTTTTTTAATGAATTGAGGAACAATTATGACAGGTCTGGTGGGACATCTCACGAGTTAATTTATTTATGTATCCCTTTGAATTATTACTATCGTCTTCTTCGGGAGAGCAGAGCTGTATGCTACCGAGCGCGTCCCCAGGTCGCGGATAGGAGAACGGCCGTCATCTCACGGCTAACCGTGAATAACATGGGCTTCGGCTCTCCGAATAAGCGGTCGCGGACGATCGGCGGCAGCGCTCGAGGAGGTGGTGGGTTTACCTCCTGGCAAGAGTACTCCGCACAAAACACCAAACATCTTTGGGCAGCGCTGTGACGTGGCGAGTGTGGCTCGCCACTAAATATGGTCATCACTTGTCGAAATCTACTGTTCGCCAAGGTTTGCCAGAAGAGGCGGATGAACCAAATACTGGTCACCGGTTAATCTGGAACATCGCTGCTGCCTTGCAGTCCGCGCTTGGTTGCGCAAAGGCCAGAGTGCACCCCTGAACAAGGCCTACTCTGGCCCGGAAGACCGAGTAGTACAACAGCCCGGCTTCCGGTCTTGCTGGCGTTGGCGTGGCTCTTGGTGAGATAGCTGAAGCCGCGTTTTCTGGACTGGTTCCCAGTCGACAGTAGGTTGTGCACTGTGAGACTTAGAGGTGCGTGCAAAGTAAGCAAACATCGCCCCGACTGACGAAAGCTGTTTATCGTGTGGGCGTACGCCCCAACGGACTGCAATCCAGACGCAGTCAAAGATGAACTTTATCATAACCTACACGACCTCTTGCGTAAAGCGAATCTGGTTGATATCGTGATTTTAGCAGGACATATGAATGCTAGGGTAGGTCGGCTGACTTCGAGTGAGGTCCTTTCGGACTAGATTTCTGTCGCTGGGAAACGAAGAACGGCTGTTGGCTCTGTGTTCCGACCACCGCCTATTCCTCGTCAGTACGAACTTCAGGCACCCCAATTACCGGTACGCCACCTGGGGTTCGCCCACCTCGAATCAGAGACAGATGGAGATCGACCACATCGTTATAAGCCACAAATGGTGGGGTTGTATACAAGACTGCCGATCGTACTGGAGCACTCCTCTCGAATCCGATCACGCGTTAGTTTGCGCGAAGATGTCCATGTGCTTCGGTGGGTGTTCCAAACGCACGACACAACGAGGGTTAGACTGTGATAAGTAGTCTGAACCAGCACGCCTCAATGTCTTTCAGAACGCGCTAGATGAAAAGCTAGAACAAACCCCATCCGATGAAGATAACACATTTTATGATAATTTCCTAACGGTAATTGCCCCATCTCTTGCTGATAGCTTGCATTTAATAGCTGGTGACTTCAACCACGCCCCCTGCATCCTTTATTGTGTCTAAACCTCGCTGACCTGATTATTGAACCGAATAGAGGAAAGTCTCATCTAGACCACATAATCACAAAACACGCTGACACATTTTCCACCAAACAATTCTCTCCCTTAGGCACCAGTGACCACAATCTGATCCTGGTCAGATCTAAGATTTACTCACACTCGAAACATTTTTCTTTTACTCGACCCAAACACATGATATTCCTTCAGTGAGATCTTTCCCCAGACAATATTGCCTTACTTAAATCGTCCCTTAAGGTAGTTACCGACTGTTTTCTATTAAACAGCCTGCTTGTCAAATATGACATTTCTAACAGAAGTGTTAAACTGTGTTCTCACATATGCTGTCCGGTCATAACTTTGTTCCTTCGACATGGCAGAAATTTCCGCTTCAGTTTGTACGAATATTACGAATATATTCTTGTGTGCTAGTTTTGGTTGACGTCTTTCGGGTGAAGAATAGGAGAAGGAAGCAAAGTAGAGTCGAACAGAAAATGGAGAAGTTCAGCGGTCTAAGGTTGGGAAGAAATTGAGGAGATGCACGAACGCCACTGGTTGAGACCCAGTCATATCACTCAGTGTCTCTAACCATCGGTTACGATCATCCCGAGGTCCCCAGTCAGAAAGACTAACAGAACCTATGTGACCCAGTCTCCTGGTTAGGGTGTTTATACTCTCGTGCCAGGTGTTAGCTTGACCACTTGCGGCTTTCTCTCACTCGGAGTCTGCTTCGGCGAACATCGCTCGGTTAAGTTTGTTGTTCGCTGGTGCGTTGATTATCGGTTCGCTTTTCGGGATCAGCCTCTAGCATCATGCACCCAATGAGACAAGAGGAACGTGGACGAGAAAGCACCTTAT